TAAAACTCATTTTCAAAATTTCATTATTTTCTGCAGAACTTTCCACGCAAAGTGATTTTCACCCCATTTCCCCCCCCCCCCCTGTTTAAGGGTGCACGACTTCTATGCGAAGCGACTTCCACCCCTCCTGGTTAAAGGCGCGTGAATTCCACGCAAAGCGAGTTTCATCCCACCTCCTCCTGCTTCAGAGGCGTCCGACTTTTATTTCCTTAACAGGAAGGAATCATTTAGTAAAGCGAAGAAAAATATCTAAGAAACAAATATCTTAGAAACTATCTAAACTATCTAAGAGACCATCAATTATAAGGAAAAGTTGATCAGTCTTCACCTTTATAACATATCTCAAGATTAAGATCATCGAAGAGATCTCCTAATGTAAAAGTTTACTTTTTTCTTATTCTAAATTTTTTGGAGTAGAATCCCATTCTAAAAAATGAAAATTGAGCCAGTCTTTAAAAAGATTTCGAATAATTCGATTCATTCTAGCAATTCGGTTTAGCGTCTTATTCTAGACAACAAAAAGTTCAAAATCGAGACGAAAAACGTCTTAAAAATATGTCTTTAGACATCTTTAAGACGTCTTTTAAAATATGTCTTTAAGACATCTTCTAGATGTCTTTAAGGACCAATCGCATCAACGTTATTTTGACTTTAAGCGAGGCTTAAAACTAGCTTGCTTTTTCTCTTTAAAGCCGAGAGAATGGAAAAGATAGAGTTTTAAGCTTCGCTTAAAATCAAAGTAAGTTGGTATAACCGGACCTAAGACTTCTTATGTCTCGTTTTTGGATAATACATGTGTGATGTAATCATTTTGATAAGACAACAAAATTATTCTCAGATCTGTATCTAGCTAAATTTTTAAATATTTTTTCAAAATAATTCTTTTCGTGTAGTTTTTGAATCTACGTCGCAAACTGACAAATCTGTGCGTCTGTAAAAAGACGGAATTCCAGACGAAGAGAAAATATCGTGAGAATGCCTGAATATTTCAACAGGTGAGATCAGTCAAGCAAGAAGTAACACAGAAAGCTCGAAATGGACAATTATTATGCATTACTGAGAGATACTTGAAATTTTCAGCAAATAATTATCCTATTTCTGATATTCTATTTAAGCAAGTGAGCAATAATAAAGTTATTTCAAAAGATTTTAGAAATGTTATGAAAATATAAATCGCGAAAAATAAAAACGTTTATAAAAGAAATTTCATTTCACTTGTCTTGACAGTGCTGTTTTCCATAAGATTTCTAGAAACGATCGAAGATTCTTTCATAATTCAACATAATGTATTCTGAGACAGATGCTTGTTACAACTTTATTTTCAGTATTTACAGGCGTGTAAGCTACGAAGAAAGGAGAGATATAATCCGTAAAAATAAAAAAAAAGGGAAAAAGGGAAATAAATCGGGACTATCGTTACGACTCTTCAATGATATTCGAAAGGACAAAGTATTCATCATTAAATTCGTTTTCCTGCTGATTTACGTGATTTACATATTGCTACAATTGTATGCATACTGTTAACATTGGCGAAAAACTTGTCAAGGTAATACAATGAATATACATATCTTATTGATAGATATATTTCCATAAATCCCGATATTTTAATATATCGATACTATATTGCCGAAAATATATATGTATCTTGGATTATATTTTCAAGAATAAGATTTAATTTTCAGGCAAATATATAAACATTGGTAATTTATTCATTTAACGATTGACATAATCCCAATATTTTAACATAACAATATTATGTTGCCGAAATTATATATATTATATAATATATATGTATATATCTTAGATTATACTTTCAAAAACAAGATTAAATTTTCATGTAAATATAAATATCGATAATTTATTAATTTATTTATTGATTTAAATCCCAATATTTTACCGAAACTGTATATCTTGCATCATATTACCATAAGAACAAGAAATTATTAAATTTTGAAACAAATATAAATATTGTCCACATAGCACAGAGAGTTCAAAAAGACTTCAGTCGTATGTCATAAATTTTAAGTTCATTTTCAAGTACAAAAAGAATTTTTTTAGAACTTTTTAGAAAAAGAATTCTTTTTGAATCTGAAAATAAACTCAAAATTAGTGACATACAATTAAATTCTTTCTAAATTTTTTTAACTCTCTGTGATATGTGGGAGATAATTTATTGATCTATTTATTGATTTAAATTCTGATAGTCGTAATGATACATTACCAAAACTACGTATATATTAGATCATAATTCCAAGCACAAGATTAAATTTTCAGATAAATATAAATTTTAGTAATTTATTGATTAATTTATTGACAAAAATCCTATATGATATATCGATGCCATTCGATATGTAGTTGAAACTAGGTATATTTTGGATTATATTTCTAAGGACAAGATTCAATTTTCAGACAAATATGAAATTTATTTTATATCAGTGAATATTATTATCTTAATCAACCAATAAAATATGTTGTTAGTTTAATAGACGAATTAGATATTAAAATTCTCTGTGCTAAACAGTATCCTAGAAAGCAAACCTATTTGCTTCGTTACATTGATGATTATGTATTTCAGAATTGTGTAGTCATTAACTATGGTACACGCTTTCGTGTTAAGGCAATCTGCATGACGCCTTGAGTGTTAATAAGCGAGACCAAAATACGTGTTTTTTTCATATAATATTTTTGTTTCTTCTTTATAATAATTTTCTTTTTAGATAGTTTTAATTAATTAATTATTTTCCTCAAATGTATTAAAAAATCATTTAGAAAGATAAAATCAATCTATGTCATGATATAACAGATCAAAAGATCAAATTCTCTTCAAAATGCCATATTACAGACTTCGAAGATTTTTTTTACGCTAAACAGAATACCATTAACAGAATTTTCGTGTCAGGTTTTTTAAAGTAAATTGAGATAAAATGACATTTTTTACTACAAAACAAAAACTCGTTTCCAAATAAAATTTACGATATCTAAATTTAAAAAAAAATTAATTTGAAAGGTCTTAAATTGTACTTTTTTAGGTACTACATAAAATTTATTTAAAAATTTACTCAAAATCCTGATGTGTTACTCAAATTCTATCAATGCCATCGTATTCAGCAAAAAAATATTCGAAGTATATATTATAGCACTTTGGAGAGAATTTGATGTTCGCGTTACAGAGCTTCTGATTGCAGTTTCATATTTATAGTGCCGTATCCTCATTTTGCAGTTAGTTACAGTTCTATGACTCATGTTTCCTTTGGAATCCTTTGAATCTGACATTCCAAAGTACGAAAATAGCATACGCGGCATATGCAGTTGCTACAACTTGTCAGCGTGAAACAAGATCACTAATGATCATCATGTGTCGAGCTCGATCGCCATTATACATCATCACCGGCCATTCTATTTTTTCAACCGAGAGTTTTATATAATAAAGAGGGGGAGAGGGGGGGGGGAGGTACGAAATCATAAAATATCATAATCGAATCAATTTTATTTCTCGATCTCTTTGAATAAACTAAATCAATCAATGAATTCAATCAATGAAATTAATTTTAGATTTATATATTACATGTGTGAAATATATTTAATTATTTAATCTCATATTTATATATTCTTCTACTTGTACATATAAACGCATGCATATCTTTAATTTGTATTATAAAAAAATTTTTAATGTTTTATTCTGATATCAGAATAAAACAAATCAAAAAAATTTTTAATGTTTTATTCTGATATCAGAATAAAAAAAATAGTTCTCAGTCTAATAGTTTTTTTAACAAAAAATATACAATTATATTGATCATAGCATTATGAGTAATTTGAAAAACTTTAAAAGACAGAAAATCGATATCGATTTTTAGGTTCTAAAGAGATCAATCATTTATGTACATGTTCTGTATCTACGCAATGAATAGTTTTAAATGAAGTAACAGTAATTTGAATTCGAAACAGTAATTCATAAGTGACATGTCTATTAATAAAATTATGTTATTTTTGATAAAAAGGACATATTTATTTACATAAAAAAATTAATAATGATAAAAATTCTAAACTAAAAACTTCTAATTCAGCTTCTAATTCTATTTATGCTAAAATTGCAATTTGTTTTGTCGTTTCAATGTACAAATAGAAAAAATCGTTAAAATAATCGAATAATTATTATCACATTATACGTAAATATGTAGTACTAAAATATCTCCTCATTGTTTTACTCCAATAATTTTCAATTTTTACAAAGAGCTAAAGGTAAAGAATTTAATTATAACGTTTATAAATGTATTTTAATGTGCTAATATTATTCTGTTCAATTGTATAATGTTGTACCTATAGACAATATCATCTCATTGCGTTATATTTGTGTTTTACAATCCGGAGTTAATTTGAATTTTTATTCTATTCTGGTACTGGAAATCTATCGAGCGATCAAAGCAATATTACTTCACATTAAAGCATATCATTGCATATAAAAAAAACGATCCCTCAAAACATAATATGCAAATTCTGTAATTTCTACACGTGCGCAGAGACGACCGCAATGAATAAGAAATGTAGGAGGAGGTGCATTATACGGAAAGGAAGATATATGAGAGGACGTGACGAAACGAAAATAGCAGGGCACGGCGGCGACTATTAATGGGCTTCGCAGGAGCTCGGATCTCACATTAAGTATGCAGCGAAAACTTTATTTTCCCTCAACATTTTCCTCGTTTTTTTTGCCGGCTTGTTTTTCCGTTCCGACTGTTCGTCTAGGGCGGGTGCATATTTGAGCAACTTGATCTGCCATAGACGAATTACTCACGTAAAGTGCACACTGCTGATGCATATTTAATGAAAGAGTCTATAGACCCTGTGATTACGCCCAACAGTTCATGTTACAAGTTCGTAAATTAAGTATTCTGTCTACGAGAAAAAATGATAGTTCTCTGGGAGTGTTTCGAGAATATAACAAAACAGAGTTCTGATATACGAAGCTCGCGAATTCTACTGTCGCAAATATTCGATCGATAATTCGCAGTTCCAACCTAGACGATCCACGAAGATGATCGCTCCATCGCTTCTCCTATCATTTTGCTCAATTTTGTTCTATATTACCGAAATTTTTCCGTAAAAATATCAAAGTTTACGAATGGTGCTTCTCACTTTTAATACTTTTAACAAATATATTTCAACATTTTAAATTCGTAATAATGATGTTTTGCAAGAGCGTTGTAAATATTCACGGAGTAGTAATTGCGCGAATTTTCGCTCCAAGAATCAAACGTCCGATTGCCTAACAAGTGCTAATAATATTAATTCTATCAAAAAATGCAACAAAGGGATCATTAAAATGATCAATTGCTCGAACGAATTCACACGAGTGCATGGTTTAATTTTAACTGTTGGATATTTTATTCGAGTAAAAGTTTACAAGTGACGTGCTTTCACCGCTTATTTCCGTCAACCCACAAGGAAAGTGCACGTCGAATGCGGCGAAGAGCTGGAGAGTGACTAATGAGTGTCATTAACGATTGCGTGGTTTACCGTCACAATGGAGAAAATCAGAAGATGACAGTTACTAACTGCAAACGCAGATAGACGCAGATAAAAAGACTTCATGCTTTACCGGGAGAGCAATGTGCGCGTCTAATATAAAAGTACACTTCCATGCAGACCGCGACGTTATTTCGACTTTAAAAGTTTGAGTTAAAGGTTTAGTTTAACATTTCGTTAGTACTTTGATAAAGCATATATTTCGAAAATCCAAGATATTAGTTAATTCAAAATATAACTAACCTGAGATATCGCGAAAGAACAAAGAAATTCTACATTTCTCCGGAATAAATTAGAAATAATAGTAGCAATTTAAGCGATAATTAAGATTTACGATTATCTGTTGAATTGTTAATTGCAACGTATATCATCAAGAAAAATGATAATTAATGCGAGAGTATTTGTGTTAATCGCACTAGTAACCTACGGTGTATGCGCTCATACAGTCGACATTCGAGAGCCTTACAAAAAAACTAATGATAAAAAATATACTGGGTCTATGCTGGCTGAGATCGCAAAGGAATTAGTGCAAAGATCGACGACCAGCAGTCAGGTAATAAAAATTATGCATCATTATATAAGAAATTATGAAAATATAATTACCCAAGCAGAATAAGTCACAATAATATCAAAATGATATTAAAAAAATGAATCGGAAATGATTGAAAAATAACTTTTAATAATCATTTTAAAGTCATTTTAACATCATAATGACTTATTGTTCTGCTTAGGAAGCTCCTGATAATAAATGTGTAAAGAATGGAAAATAATGTTTTTTCAATATCAGTGTCAAATTTAAATTAAATAAGTATTTTATTAAATTGAAGTTCAGACCCAGTAAACGTCAAGTAACATTAGATCAATATCATAATTTTTTATTCAATAATATAAATTATGCTTTACAGTTGTTAGTTGATGTTTACAGATAAGGTATAGTATAATAAAATCGTGTATTATCTATCTGGCTTAAGATGGATTTTACATTATTTATTTCAAAATCAAATTATATCTCACGAGAACATTTGATAATAAACTAATCACAATTAAATTAAAACGTAATTGTAATATTACAGGTGCTGACTTTAAATCTCTCGAATTTGCTATTACTTTTGGTGCTTAAAGCAGTTGTGTTCGGCGCTGGCTACATAGGACATGGTTATAAAGGACGTGAATTAGAAGACGGTAATTTCGAAATGTATATGTATAAATCGTTAATACTCATTTGAATATATTTTTCGTTAATAATAATAGTAATAATTAAAAATAGTAGACTACATTGTATGCAATACTAATATGTTGCCGCGGCTCTTTGGAATAAAAGGTCAGCGAATATGCGTAGCAAAATTCAAAATTATAATTGTTTTTAATTATAACTTTGTATTAATTTCAGAAAATATTGTATCAGAGGGTGAGCTTGCATTAGCTCTTGGGTATCTGATCGGTGATACCTGTTTATATAGAGCAGCTTGCGAAGAGCCACATATTGCGAGAGAATATCTCGGCGCAGCAGAAATGCTCTTGCAAACAATGAAGTTAATGCCGCAGTATGTATACAAGATATTAAAAAAAATTATAAAAAATTAGAAATTAAATATTGTGTGATATATAAAAAAAAGTACTCGGTACTTTTATGTTTTTCAAAATCATAATCTTTACTATTGATCACTTTACTATCGATAAACATGAAAAACACTTAAACACTTTTTAAAGAGGGATTAAAAATATGTCTATTTTTACGAATTTTTTGTGAGAACTATTAATGTTACTTAAACAGCATTTTAACCAATATTTATATATATATATATATATATTAGTGAGTATCACATAAAATTTTTAATTAAAAATATTAACAAATAAAGCCGGCAGTATTACAACCAATAACAATAGCGGTTTATAGTCACCATCATAGCTTTCACACACACAGTTTGTTTAAAACCCAATAAGTTTTTAAAATATATTAATAAATCTTGTCAAGACCTAAACAATTTTAGACATCAATTTTGACAAAATGGCAAATTTCAGAATTTAAAGATGCAATTTTTCATAAAAAATTGTTTATTCTTTAATTATATAAAGAAAAATGATTCTAAAAAAATTCCTGCGACAAAGATTATTAATATATTTTTCAGAAACTTTTTAGATTTTTTATTTCAAATAAACTATAATATATGAAAGCTACGATAGCTATCGTAAACTATTATTGCTTTAGAGCTAACAGCTGTGTCAGTGTTATTTGCTAATATTTTTTTATTAAAAGTTTTATATAACATTCACTAATATAAGTGTATATTGATCAAAACCTATTTGAGTAAAGTTAATAGTTTTCGAAAAAAAATTCGTAAAAATAGACATCTTTTTCATTCTTTTGAGTATATGCTCCCTCCACCCCTCTTAAATCAGAAGTTGTTTAATATTTAAAATTAAATATTTTGGAAAAGAAATATCATATTCATGGAAAATCAAATAGAAAATAATGCACAACATTGCTGCGAAAATAAAGCAGCGAATATTCTGTATGTAAAATTTGCATTTCCGCAGAAGCTTACCTGTAGAATCCAATTATGAGAAGACAATTGCAGAATTCCGGAAGGCGATTGAATATGGCAATATCGAGGAATGTCCACCAGAATACAGCTGCAAAAAAGAGAACTTAAATAATTTCTTACAAAGTGAAAAACGATAATGTTATAAATATTTATCAAACATTTCAATTCTTATTTTTTCTTAGATAAGCTATATAAATCGCACAACAAAATATAATAATATTTTATATGAACATATATTTTTTAGGATTATTAATCTTTTGCAAAAATTATTTTTTTTATTGCCATAATTGGGATTATACTTGTTCGATAATGGAATAACTTATACGAAAAATGGTAAAAACATTATCATTTATTAAGAAATTATAAGAAAATAAAGATTATTTTTAGAGTTATAAATTGCATTTTATAGCTTTGATTACACAGAGAGAAAATATAAAATTTAAAAAATCATTATACAATCTTTCGTGCATCTTATATGCGCTATTATTAAGTATTTATACAAAAAATTATTTTTATTTGATAACATCTTTTATAAATTTCTAAAAAATATGTTAAGAAAATCATTTAATTTGATTGATTATTGCTATACATATATACACACATATACATATATTTACATACATACATACATATATATATATATATATATATCGTTATTAATTTATATTATTGACTCTAATATATTACTGAATTATTAAATAGAAGTAATTAAATATATAGAATTAAATAGAATTATCATGCATAATTAACAATATAGATAATATAATTAATGTGATTCAATATGGTCAGTATGAAAACAGTTTGTAATTTGCATTTACATAAATTTAATGTACCACATAATTATAACCCATCCAGAAATTATTGGTCGAATTGATGTAGATTTTGATTAATGTTATCAACGTCGATGAACGATGATTCGATCAGTTAATTATTTAAGTCTAGCTATACAAGGTATATGCTAATAAAATATTTTAAAAAGTGATTTGTCACACAAATTTAAGACGAAAACTTTATATGATTATATATCTTGAATAGTTTATAATTTTAAAGATACAAGGTGTTAAAAAATTTTGAAAACCATTGGAGTTACATGAAACTAAGAGGTAAATCGCTGATCAAAATTATATACACTAATGCCCATGTAATATCCAAGTAATGCCTATTAATATCCTATAAGCCCATCAATGCCAGTAATGCATAATTTCATACCGCTTATAATATTCTTATAATTTTCTTAAATAATGTCCATGCAGTAATTAATGCTTCAACAAATCGTATATCGCAGTTTATCTTCAGCGGTTTATCCCTTAAATAAGCAGTTTATCCTTTAAACATACAATGAAATTTCAAAATAATTCAAATAGTTTTCAAAATTTTTAGAAAAAATAAAATTTTTCCTTTAATACCCTGTATCTTTGATATGCCATTTTGGATATATGGTATCAAGTTTTCGTCTTGAATTTTTGTGAGGAATACCATCTCTTAAAATCTTTTAGTATTCATCTTGCATATGCTTATATTTAATAACAAATCCGAATGCAACCATTATTTGAGACACAAATATTCTCTTAATTCAAACAACTCTCAATAATTTATAGATAAATCGAATATATAATTACGCAGAGCTCCATTTTTATGCAAGAACAAGCTGCAGTGTTCAGCAGTGTCCGTAATGCTGCTTACCTTTGAAAAATTGAGACTAGCGATACTACAAAAAGAAATTGTGGATAGACTTGACGGAGAATCTCACTTACCACTCCATGTATGTACATACACAACTGAAATAATTTGTGACCATGGTGGGTTTCTTCTATTATATTTGTGTCATTGTATTAAAAATTGTAACAATCTTTGTTGAAGACAAATTCACAACTTCCTTTTCGTTATTGCGCCGTGCGCCGCTGGCGCCACGTAGATTTCCTTGTAATTTCTGCCACCAAGTGACGCTAGAAGCGCGCAGCTGCCTAACCTAACCTAACCTCAAAGTCGCGGTGACGTATGCGAGACGCGGTGCGACGTGCGACAGTGACGGGTGAATTAGCGTAGGTACTGACTGGTTTGATTTTCGCCTGGTCACCGCGTCGAACGCATAAACAATTTTTCATTTTTCGACTGTTAACGTTGCTTCTTATACGTTTTCTCTGAAAGATGAGTTCTATAGGCACAGGAGTGAGTATTCCCGCACATTGTTCAATACACGATCGCAAAATGTCACGTTAATACGGTTGACATTCAAAATCCTAACCTCATTTTTATTCCAGTATGACTTGTCCGCCTCGCAATTTTCGCCGGACGGACGTGTATTTCAAGTGGAATACGCGCATAAAGCCGTAGAAAATGGAGGGTGAGTTTCTCTCATCTTGTTCCTCATGAATTCTTATATAAACATCGATCGGAGTAATATTCGCGCACAATAATGTCCTACTGAAAATCGATATGACATGTAGAATAACTAAAATATTAATAAGAAAGAATACATGCACGTATGCTTACATTTCATTTGTAGGCATTCATAGTACGTTATTATAGTATCAAGATCATCTTAAGTAATATCTTGATGATAACAAACAGATCTCTTTGGCTTATGATATCTTAAGACTATACTTAAGACAGTTTTAATATAAGAATTAACTATGAATATAAGTTTCTGATTGATTCATCTTAAACTTATAATTAAAATAGTTTTAAACATAAAATTCTGTTATAAATATCAGTCTATGTATATGTGATCACGCTTTGTTGCAGGACAGTTATTGGTTTACGAGGGAAGGATGGCGTAGTATTTGCTATCGAAAAGATAGTAACATCGAAGCTCTATGAACCAGGTGCTAATAAACGAATATTTAACATAGATGAACACGTTGGTATGGCAGTCTCTGGTATAATATCGGATGCGAGACAGATCGCAGAGACTGCGAGATCAGAGGCTGCTAGTTACAGGTCCCAATACGGAGTCGGTATTCCATTAAAGTATTTAAACGAAAGAGTTTCTATGTATATGCATGCATATACCTTGTATTCTGCTGTACGTCCATATGGTTGCTCTGTTCTGCTCAGCGCTTATGAGACAGATGGTCCAATATTATATATGATTGATCCATCGGGAGTATCATATGGTTATTATGGCTGTGCAGTAGGTAAGTGAAGTCTGTTTTAAAAAAAGATGGAATGTAGACTATATTCAAAGTTAGTTCTTATATTCAAGACTTAAGTAAAATCTTAGAATATTTTAAATCAATCACAAAGCAGTATTAACATTATAAGATGTTACTTAAAATGATCTTGAAACAAAAGTGGACTATGAATAGCCATACAGACAGAAATTGATGTTTTGCGCATATTATCCACAGGTAAAGCAAAACAGTCAGCTAAGACAGAAATTGAAAAATTGAAATTATCAGAAATGACTTGTAAAGATTTAGTTAAAGAAGCTGCTCGTATTATCTACCTTGTTCATGATGAACTTAAAGATAAACAATTCGAATTGGAAATGAGTTGGGTTGGTGCACATACTAAAGGAATTCATCAACGTGTGCCGGCAGATTTAAAAGCTGAAGCCGAAACAAAGGCACGACAGGCAATGGCAGAAGATTCGGACAGTGATACAGAGGATATGTAAAATGATATATAAATACTGCCGTGAAAATTCTTTATATTGTAAGCGATAATATTAAATATAACCTTAATAACACACTAAAGACCTGTGACTTCTTTTGATCTTATTATAATTTGTTGTGAAAAGGGATTTATCTCTTATAGCGTTTTCTCTTAACTGCAATCGCCCATTAACAACACTCAGACAATGTACTGTATTTCCACAGCTATGATGTACTGCAAATTTTATGCACGAAATAAGGTTTTGCTACACTGTCTCTTTGAGATGGTGTAGAGCCAGTGTGATATTTGAAAATGAAAATCAAGCGAGAACAGAGTTTTAGCGTAATAATGAAGTAATGTACACCATGGTGTGTACCACTCTAGTGCAGTGTAACTGAGTGTAGTGCTTACACGCAACTGTGCGGTGCAAGGCTGCACCCAGTATATCCCAAGAGAAAATACTATTACTTAACGTTCACTTTAGAGAATTAGACTTATTTTAAAACCTATTTTAAAATGTGGAATGAAATATGCATTTCCAAAACTGATCATTCACTTATCATTCACCTAATAATTCTAATCTTTAAATCTCCAATCTCATTCTCTTAAAAAATTGAGGCATACGTTAATCGAGGATTCACAGACAACGAATCTCTTGCACAAGCTATGCATTAATCTCGTTTTAAAGCTTATTTGTTAATCTGGAAGTTTTTACTTCCAAACGTATTACAATTTGCTTATTTTCAGTTAATCCTAGAATCATAAACTATTGTAAATTTAGTGCGTATTTACGATAGTTTATGATTCTAGAATTAACTTCAGAATTAAGTTTAAGTATTTTGTTATGCAAGATATTTTCCTACAAAATTTAGAATCGTAATACATGTAGTAAGTTTAATTGAACTACTTTTACTTGACCGGCGACTAGCAATCAAAAAATTATTTATCGATAAATGATAATATATATTTAATTTATTATAATATAATATATATTATTATCATTAATATATAATACATATATAATCAATATACTATTATATTTACTACATTTCACCTTCTTTTTTTTAATATTTTATCTGATATTTCCTATATTAAAGAATTTTTTTAAAGATTTTAAATATATTGCTACTTAAATGCTACACTTTAAAAAATATATCCTTTCTTTATTATAATAATAACATTTAAAAAAGCCTAGTTTAATAATACATTATTTTACTTAATTCTTTAATCAATTGCGGAATATTTTCAAAGGAATCAAAATGATTATTACACAAGTTCTTTATTGATAACATGAATCATTTTCGCAACTGCCTTTTTAATCTTCAACGTAGATTGAAATATATTATATACGAATCGGCTTACTGTTTCGATAAAAGGTACGATTGTTATACGTAACGAACACGTTGTGAAATTTCATTTAAAAAAAACGACAACAGTATAAAACATGAATTTATATGCGAGATTTTGTTCTTTCATGTATGACTGATGCAATTTAATCCAGGAATTCGCAAAAATTGTAACAACCTTTATCATCGTGATATACGATTAACGAATGTAATCTCTTTACAACAATGGTTGAGCTAGTATAATGGATAACGAACGACATTTTTTCCTCTATCTCCAGATCGCCACTTGTTTAAAAAATTTTTTTTTATTTGAGACAATTATTTATTAATGAGAACTTAAGCATCTAAATTTTATTGAAATTTTTGTTATAAAAAAATCTTTTAAAATTGAATCGTTTTGAATCGAAGTGAGAAATGATCTTAACCAATCTGGAATTTTTTTGTTTTTTATTTCTTATTTGTTGTATTATTGGGCATCATTGATACTAATTCCGTATATTACATACATAAGTCTTTTAACTGTTCTTTAAGACTTTAATTTTTTACAAGGAAAAGAAAGGAATGAAAGATGTATCTTATGATATGTCGATGAATTGCCAAATAGTTTACACACGCGGAGAATCAAAGAATGTTGCGTTCTTCCGCAGAAAATAACTATTATTTTGCAAGATGTCATGTCTTGTAACTCGAGCAAAATAGGTAGAATTTCATCTGCATGAAGACGCGCAATTGTCTGCACAATGACTACGATACTACACAATGGTATCAAGTTAAATTGTATACGTAAACACAAACGGAAAAATATATTCCGCAGATAACGTAGACTTTGGATCTTTGATCAAAATTAAAATTCTTTCTAGCCGATTGACGTATAGAAAAGATTACAGGCTTTACTGATGTTAGACTTTAAATTCAGTTTTAATCTTTGTTTTTTCTAGTTCTAATGCCCGTTTCTATAGTTTAATTTTAATCTTGATCCAATTAACTAAAATTGCAGATACATCTATAATTAGTTAATTTCGCTTAAGGTGACTAAATTTTGTGGAAATATTAGTTAAATTAATGGAAATAATTAAAGTAAAGTTAATATAAACTGATCTAATTACTCTGATAGTAATTAAATTTCGTTTCTCCAACATCAATTAAAATTAAAAGGCGATGATATACGAATTAAAACTTTTAAACTGTTAAATTTAAAACTGTTAAAGTTCAAGAATCGGCTTCGAGGACATTGTGAACATTGATAAAATCGCATCAAAGTAAATCCTATTAATTATCAAAAAAACAGTGTTAGAACATATAGTAAGCATGGACGACGATTCCAATATGGTGCTCCAAATACAGTGAATGATTTCAATGTATGGAATTTCATATACTGAATTTCATATCTGTATGATATTTGGTCGGGGAGAAATTTAGAAATTTCAAATATACGAAAAATGCCACTGCATTGCTTGAAGGATATAGTACAATTTTTACATGACAATTCCGAGATCAGATTTTTATAGAATACGTAAAATTTATTTGCTTTCTTTTAACGATTTCTATATCAACTTGTTCGAATGAAAGATCATTTTCTTATATAAGACCTTGAAAAAGTTATCTTCGATTGACAATTAAACAAAAACGTTTAAATCATATTGCGACATTGTACATTTATCGAGAAATAATCGATAAGTTAAATATGGAGGAGCTCGTTAATAATTTTATTAACAGAAATAAAATTAGAGCGGCTACTTTTGCCATGTAGAGAAGATATGTATGTAAGAAAATATATTTATCCCCTCTCCCCCCCCCCTCCTCTCCCTTAATCTATCCTCGGGAACTGTATTGAAAAATTTTACTTCGCCGCCCCTGATAGTAAGGATTCGATTGATCTACGCGCATGATCCTGTTTTTTCACGTTGGGGGTTGGTTTCCGCCGGACTAGTGACTAGGAGGGGTGCGTGGCGGGAGCGGCTTAGAACGAGCTTTATATAAGGGTTGACTTTGAAACTCAGCCACTGGTTTTAATTAATGCGACTGCGACAGACACGCCACGTTCGTCATCGCTCGTCTCCCCTGAGTTTTTTTTACTTACTTCCAACGATGCAAACGCGTTGATCATACTGTTATTTCGTCAAACCAAGCTTCGTTCTTCTCCCTACTGTGGAGTGAAGTTTCCGTTCGCCAGAGATTGACACCGGAAGTCCTATACAATGATAAGAAATATGTCGTTGAACCTCAGTGTCGAGGAACAATCACCAACCGGTATCTATATTTTCGCAGCGATCGCCCTAGGCTTTATCGGTTTTTTTGGTTTTTCCTTGAATCTTCTGGTCATAATAACGGTCGTCAAGAACGCCAATGTACTGTGGACGCCCAACAACGTGGTCCTCGTCAACATGGTCGTGAGTATTTTTTATTTATATAATGAGTGATTGAATAATTTTATTAGCTTTCTCAAAATACAACTTATACAAATAATTTAAATAATCTACATATAATCTACATATAATCTACATATAAGTTTAAGTAACATCAAATAAGTTATTTAATAAGCTATTTCATAATTAAATTTTTCTGAATGGTTTCTGATTAAAATGGAAATTAATTATCTCTATCGAAAAGATCGATGTTATAACTTTTTAAAAAAATACATAAATGAAAGGTAACTTCGTAGATTTATGACACACTTCTGTGTTATGACTACAAAATTGTGAAATTTTCTGTTTCTTCTAACAAAAATAGAACTTAGAGAAAGTTTGAATCTATCGAATGATTTTTACAAATATCAAAGTGCGACTTTAATGATATTCACCTTTGGCAATTTCTTACGTTTCTTTTAAATTCCATAATTTTTCTACAATATATTACATTCGTAATATCTTAAAAAAGAATAGTCAAAATCGTTAATAGCGATATGTTTGGCAATGTTTCTATCAAATTTACATTTAGCTTTCTCTAAGAAATTTGAGTCAATATTTTAAGACATGTAATTTAACACACATAAATATATTTTTACATCAAATTTATATTGAACTGAAATAAATAAATGAACAATTAGATGGAGCTTTATTAACTTAAACTATGAATATTCTCGAGCTTAATAAGAAAATCTTATGAAAGTTTCAGAATCTTGATTTTTAATAAATTTATAATAAAGAACAAAATATGCTTTTGCATTGTTCCTACATTTTCCAGGCCAGTCTATGGAAAAAAAATGTACTCCATAGTATAGCAGAGTTTACAAAAATAATGACGTCCATTCTGTAATTAAAATCGCTGCTCTATTTTCACATACGGCAATGTGTTGCGAAAGTACGTATTGCCCCATGGCAATTCAAAAATGGTAACAGATGTTTAACTCTTGGCATTATAAGCAGTATGAAAATGGATGGATTTCTTCGTCATTTGCATTCGTAAATTAGTAAAATTAACACCAATTTAATTTGTAATCTAGTTTGATACATACTGCAGATACAGTTTACGAGAGAAATTTGATTGTTCATTCTATAATAGAAATTACAATATAACATTATGGAGCATGATAATACATTATGGCAATAACTCGACTCATCTAACTAAACAGACGAATTAGTCAATTTTCACTTTTCGTATTAGAAATAGAAGAATATTTCAATTTTATAGTTATAATACAGGTTATCTAAATCTATAAGTTATCTTTCATTCGTATGTATTTTTTATAAAGTTGCGACATTTTTCTGAGAAAATACGGAAGGAGATATCGTTATTTTATCTCTTTCTCCCCCTCTTTGCCTTAAATTTTAAAATCAAACTAGAATGACCTGTAAATTCTTAAGTATGAGATTTGAAATTACTTTTTATATGATAATTTTATTCCAGCAATGAAATTTTCAAATACTTAATTATTTTAAAGTTATATTTGGGTAATTTATTGAAGTTAGTAAAATTTTATTATATAATTATTTATAATATTCCATGAGGCTTGTAAAAAATCATACAAAAATATAAAGATTAGGTGTTTGATTTATAAATATGACAGTACAATTAGAATATTTAGTAAAGCTATCAAAGCAGAATTATATTAAAAAATAAATAATAAAAGTATCAATATTAACTCTTTGTAAACAGAGATATCTAAGTTTACTAAGACAAGATAAAATAAGTTTACTAAGGAAAAATAAATAACCTTGCTGTGAGGAAATGGAATTAAAATAAATCTACATTGATTAAGCAAAATATAATATGGATTAATAAAGTTGAGTTTGGGAATAATATTATCAGTAAATAATTATCACAGTACAATATAAATATTTAAACAATATTTTTAAAACATGTTTTTACATTCATGTTTTATATACACTGCATATATAAATATTTAGATAAGTAATTTATATTAAGTAAATACATATTATTTATTTGAAAAAGAAGATTTAAAAAAATTGTTAATATTTAAGATAAAAAACCTATAAAAATGTATCTTTTCGAAAATATTATTAGGGTAACTCCGGTATACGCCGCACCTAAAAACTTAATTTATTAAGTATTATTTACTATATTTATAAAATAAACGAACTATATCAGTAAAAACTTTATACTGTCTACTACTGTGAAAAAAATATTAGAAATCCGAAATATTTATTTTTCATATTAAAAAATAAACTTTTTGAAACTCTTATATTTTTGTATATCCCGTATATCCCATAAGGGATAGGATATATGGTTACTCATAAGGGGAGGGGGGGAGGAGTATGTACAGCTTATGAAAAATTTACAAATAATACATAAAATAATACATACAATAAGATATAAAATGACACAATAACTTATAAAATATATTTATAAAGTTTTATTAAGGAATAAGAAAATGGTAAATATGTATAGAAAATAATAAATAATAATTACAATCTTTCTACATATATTACAAGTGTTATAACATGAGGTACATATTTTATATAAAGCATATTTTATTGCATTTAGTGCACTAAATTCAATCTGCGCATTTTATATGCTTTGGACATAAATCCCGCTAAAAATGCCGTATATCCCAAACAGGTGGAATATACAAGACAAACTAAACAAAGAATATGAAAGCAAAGCACTTGTATTTTATACAACATGCTTTACTATTCCACTACACTATGTATCATGAAATAATTAAGTCTTTTACACGCCCTACAGTAATCATTTTATATGGATTATAATTTATGATGGCGTTACTTATTACAGTGACAAATATCGATTCAACTCACAATAATTTCATTAATATTAATAGTAAGAAGCTAAAATCATAACACAATACTAATATAACATGTAACAGAATAGTTGCAGAAAAATTACTTCCATTTTATTTTTTCTGCGGTGTAAATTTCAGATGTTTGCCGGAGTTATCCTACTTATTACTTTAATTCTAAGATCGATATTCATAGTTTCTTATTTTGAAATTTTCTTAGGCAGTATCTTAAAATGTTATGATTGGCTTATATAACATCTACTTAAAATTATACTTAAGACAATCTTAAATATAAGAGCAGCTCCTGTGAAGCTAGCTTTAAATAATTTTTTTAAATTCAAGTTTACTACAAGTTTAATATATTTCCACGATATAATTATTTATACGTATTATTAAATCTAAAATTATTAATTTATTATTTGCAAACTGTTAACCAATTTTGTATAAAATATAATGTTACAAAATTGCAAATATATCGAACAAAAGGTACTTTCATATATTACGTCTTTTCCGATTGATTTTCGAAAGAGTATTAAGTTTTCTATCTAATTAGCAATTTTCTCTATTACGCAATTTTCTGCTGAAATAATCGCAGGTAATTAATACGAGACTTTTTACTTAAGCAGACATTTTAAGCATTAGAAGAACATGTTTCGAAATGTCAAGTCGCTCCTAGTTAGGAAATAAGGATAAAACAGTTAGGTTTATGTGACAGTTGGCTGTGTTTCATCATTTAGCTAAGAATTTTTTTAACGATGTCACACGGTGAATTGATAATGAGAATAAAACGTGATACTTTATTAATGATAAGAATATGAGAAAAATGCTATGTTATTGAGAACTGTAATAGATTTTGGATATCAAACGCTGTATGTATATTTTCCTGTAATTTATGAATTTACTCAAAATTTTCAGTTATAGAATATAAATCTGTTTTAATCCTATAATTATAATGTTGTTAAATTATTGTCTAGTAATAAATAACGCTCTTATAAATAAATTGTTTAAAAATAGAACTTAAAAAGTCGTAAAATTATGAAATTATAAAAAGCTATTAATCTAACATAAAAACATGTTTTTTATTTTAGAAAAAGAATACGGAACATTTCTTAAAAAATTGAGATTGACTTTGTTTATTATTACCTTTAAATCTAATTTTAATTTACAAGAATAATTGAAATAGAGCAATAAAGAGTCTACACGGTAATTAGTGCATATAAAAAATATATGACCACACTTTAATGTCTCACAGTCATAATGATATAAACAATTAACAGCCTATATCATTATGACTGTGACGTTAAAGTATGCAATTTTTATACTAATACATTTGTTCCACTAATTACAACAACTCTTTATAATAATAATGGCCCTATTTCAATTATTCTTATATATTGTATCTTGTAAAGTGATACAATAAGAGTTTTTAATATTATAAATTTTGATACTCTAATGATAATTTGTTTTTCTAATTTTAATTATCCTTTATTTGAAAATATTTAATAAAATTCGTGTTTTCCTATTTGTTTTGAACTTTCTATAGAGCAATTCTTTGCTATAGAGTGGTATATTCCAGTGGTTACTCTTCGAGCAACGTGAAATAAAAGTTTTACACCGCTTGATAAAACGCAATGGGAGCTAACTTCTGATAACTTTGAAAAGTAGTCAGTTCTCGACTACTATAGCGAAATCTTGTTTAAATATACAAGATATATTTCTGCACACCGACCTTATATAATTAGATATTAGATATTATGACTACGTTCTAAAACTTTAGTCTGAATAAAAGAGTTAATTTATGGGTCGGTTCTTATTTCAAAATCTATCTTAAGAATACATTAATACGCGGCTCTAATTTTTCTTTTTCTTTTTAATAGTAAATACGGGTTTGTGATATCTGAAAACACGGTAGTGTTTTGGTGCTAAAATATATTTATATAATTTTAAAATATTACTTAAGTTAAGATAATTTCGAAATATAAGAATCGATTATGAGTCGCTCATGAATTAATTCTTTTACTCAAAGTATAGTTTTGGAACGTAGTCTAAGAATCCAATATGTGTGTTGTTTGTTAACATATTATATAAGTAATGTGTATTTATATGACATGAAAATAGCAACGTATCTAACTTACCTCATCAATACCGGCTCTAAGTGCATAATTATACTTTATTAATTGTTTATGTTATTTGATTTATATATATATATATATATATATATATATATAAAATAAACAGCATATTGTAATGCTTGATATGTTTACTTTATATATGTTTACAGATTGGAGATTTCTTAGTTGCTGCACTGGGAAATCCATTCACAATGACATCGGCCATTGCAGGTGAATGGTTTTGGAGTCACGAAGTGTGTCTATGGTATACATCTCATTATTATTTAATCATTATTACATAAAGAAATATGTAATATTTCTTTACGTAAAAAGAAATATGTAAGAAATATGTAATACATAAAGAAATATATAATTTTATCTTGATAATTAAATCTACTGGATGCGATTCGTTCAACGCTACAAATGTTTTGTTGATTAATCAGAAGAAAGAATTTTATGAATTGATCAATCAAAGAATGCTTCGAAGTACTTGCAACGTTAAGTGAATTGCACCCACAGATAAAGACAGAGTCTCGAGAGTTTGCGCATAAACATCTCAAATAGCACAAAGATGTCCTATGAATGTTTTAAGAACCGTTAACTGAGCGGAATATTGTAAGGATTACCTAATTATAGTTCAGAAACTTGTCTTAGACGTTCTATGGACTATTAAATGAGCTTCATTACATCATACCCACCGAATATTCTCAATACTAAGTCTTAAAAATTTCCCTATATCTTGAGACAATTATTTTGCAAGATTGAAATAATTCAAAATATTTTAAGCTTATTCTTAAAACGTAACTTTTTTTTGTTATGTATAAAACAATAGAAATAAATTTATTAACACATAATATTTCAGTATCATTTAAATATATCGGAAAATAAAATGAATAGTATTATATATATATCTGTCGCAAGTCAAACTAATTGATCAACATTAAATAGAAATAAAGCAGAAAATAAAGAAAATTTATGAAATTATATATTAATCAACGCTCTGAGTATGATGATTGAAAAAATTCATAAAAATAGAAATAATTAGTATGGCTTCTGAAAAGCTTATATAAGCAGTAACAGAGTTTAATAACATGCATCTCGTCAAGTCATTATAAAAGTTATAAAAAACGTAAACAAGTAAATATTTCAAGAAATTCACAAATAATCTGCTTTGTAGAATATTCTCAATTTACTTAAATCATATTCTTCACTCTTTTAATTACAAAAATCAAATCAATTTTCTAACTTTAGGTACGCGTGGTTCATGACTACAATGGGATTTGCCAGTATTGGTAATCTGACAGTGATGGCAATGGAGAGATTCCTATTAGTCACATGCCCGATGAAGACACTATCGATAAGGTAAAAAGATTGTCGATTTCTCTTCCATGCACACTTTTCAGTGAACAAAACTACATGTATAAAAATTATATATGAGCAAACACATATACATACACACACACACACACACACACACACACACACACACACAAAAATATAATTTCTCGGTCGTGTTCACTTACTTTATATACTGTAAAAAATAAAATGTTAATTTAACTTACAGTCATATAGCGGATTTTCTGAGTATGCAAAAATGTTAAAATTATATAATTATATAATATTTTTGTGTTAATTTAACATTTTCGCATGTCTCAGAAAGTCCATTATACTGTAAGTTAAAATTAACATTTTATTTTTGACAGTGTATATATGTATATTTGTCTTACTTATCTGATCAATTTATCTTTAACACGTTCTGAAAAATTAGATGAATTTCTATAAATTTATGATTATTATAAGAAACGTACGTCTTTAGTAAAAAAAAAACAGCACTTTTGCTCTGCTCATTAAGTTTCACTTCCGAAAAATAATTTTTTCCTTTTCACGATGATACGTAACGATCATAATACAAAAGTTGCCAATAGAGAAATGATTAACTTGCGCATTCCTCGACTTTCTCGCACACTTTCATCGGAACATTCTCCGGGAAGTGATGTTACTCATCACATCTACGAGATCATTAACACTTTTAAAATGTAATTTGTACGAGTTTGCAATGGAGTTTGCAATTGTATCACACTCTCCCATTTCTCCCATCGCATGCACGGAAGACGGACAAGTAATAAAACATGTTTAAATGATAAAAGAATGTTAGGATTAAATAGTATTACATTGTGAAACCTGTTGCTTTATTTTCTTCACAGAATCTATTAGGTGTTGGAATTAATTCGTAGCGTTTTACAAGTGATAGGAAGTACTTTCATTAATGTATTTTTTAATGCTCATGTGAAATAAATAACATTCTTTCATTAAAAACGCTACGAATTAATTCCAACACCAATAATTTTCTTAAAGTGACTTGCATGTAATGTTAAGCAATATTAAGCGTAAGTCACTTCGATCACCAACCGATATTACAGTATTACGTCTTTCATTTAGTACAGAGTAAGGACATCATCTTTTGATATAAAAAATGTAATATCATGGTCTCTGTTTTCACGTCATTTATTTCTCAGACCTTCGCAATTAACGATGGCTTAAAATTGATCCTCTTGTTCCTCAATAGAATCCTTTTTTACGCACGAAAAAGTGATAGTATAAGCGAGCAAAAGCGCGGACTTTCAATTCGCTTTAATAGTAAATCCGTGATTTTACTAATAAGTTAACATTTAGAATATTTTCATCATGAGTTAACTAACGAGGTAGAATTTCGTATTATAAAATAACTAACACTCGATATAATCACTGTTTATAAAGTAGTAATCATCAGTATGTATTCATGTTTCAACTAAAACATATGATGAATTCAAAATTATAAGAAAAAACAAATAATTGAGATTAATAAGAAAAATATTGGTTATATATAATCAATTTATGAAACATATTAAATTGACAATAAAATGTTAAATAAAGAAATCAAAATTGAAAAATTAAGATATGAGTTTTTTAATCGTGTGTATAATTTTAATTAAACTTCAATAGTTTAAAGTTTTAATTTTGGCTATGATTTACCGAAGTATTTATTATAAAAATTAGTATTTTTAAAAAAATTGTATCAAAAGCTTTTGTTACAGAAGAAAAAAATATTAGACGATGAATATATTCTAAATTTACAAATTCTTTTTTTTTAATATTATTTAACAAACAGTTATTAATTTATCTTTTAAATTAAAATCGGAGTTGTTATTCGAAGAAGATCCAAGAATTTTTCCTTCATTATTCAAGTATAAAATATAATTTTTGTAGTACCTAATTATCAGAAACTTAATATTGATTTATATTTTATATCTTACACAATTATGTGCATCATTGCAATGTTATATAATCAAATTTCTTCTAGTACGTTAATACTTTATACGCTAACACTTTCTGCTTTCGTGGAAAAAAACTCTAGAAAAAAACACTAAAACAGAAAAACTTCACTTTTCTCTATTCACAATGTTTCCACTTTTCACTTGTTTTATTTACTTCCTTTATACCATTAAATTAGCGATATAATTTTGAATAATAGTTAATATTTCTCGTAAATTGCCTTAAATAAAATACCTTAAGAAATTAATTGTTACAGGCTTATATATTGGCGATTTTGGTTTGGATGTATGCGCTCTCCTTATCGTTACCGCCGTTTTTCAATTGGGGGATTTATGGCCCAGAAGCAGGTAACATATCCTGCAGCGTATCCTGGGAGATACACGATCCTGATACGCACAATGACACTTACATTGGATTTTTATTTATTGTTGGATTCTTTCTTCCTGTCACGATAATTGTCAGCAGCTATTACGGCATAATAAAGACTTTAAGGAAAATAGGAAAAAGAGTAGGTGAGTCTTAGGTGAGACTTCTAATTTATTCTTGTTGACATTATTATTGTCCTTGACTATTTATTTGTTCCAGGTGGAAGAAATAGACGGGAAAAGAAAGTCACTAAGATGGTATACTTAATGATTCTTGCTTTTCTAATTGCTTGGTCGCCATATGCCGTTCTTGCACTCGCAACTCAATATTTTTACGTAGGTATTCTCAATCACAAGACATCCAATGTTTTAAAGATCTTAAAGCAGCTGTTATAAAATTGGTTTTTAATTAATTATCGATTAATTATTCTAAATTATAATTTATATGTCGGAATCGATAATCCATCGCGTGACAAATAAATAACAAGAGACAGTATTACAACATACATACTCAAGCAGTAAAATGTTTATATTCAAGCAACGAGGTCAATTTCCTCGTGATTGATTATCCATATCAGAATCTAATGATTGACAGGCTGATAGCCTCTCAATAACTCGATAAATTTCATGTCTTTCTATTTACAACAAGCTGTGAAGAATTATAGGTATTACGGCTTATGAAAGGTGATTCCCACATGTATGATTGCAGGTACAAACTTCTCATATCTTAGCGGTGCTGCCGGCGCTTCTTGCGAAATCTTCTATTTGCTACAATCCAATTATATACGCGAGTATGACTGCCCAGTTCCCCACTTGGAAGAAAATGTTTTCCATCAATGGAAATAAAGCTAAAAGTAAGCAACAGCATGGAAGTGAACTTCAAACAAAATAAAAGTGAAGTACATTTAGAATGAGTACACTTCGACCAAGTTTAATAAAAAGACATAATAAATATGTTGCTACGCGTGGCCTAACAATTCTTAAAAATAGAGTAAAAAAAGAAATAAAGACACTACAATGGGGAAAAACATATTCCTAAAGGACCAACAATGTACATTACTTCATTGTTTATTTTCAACTATTGAAGAACAGTAGCTCGGTAAAAATCATTTCTTTTATATACTTTCTTCTCTTTGCTCTTTCTTATTTCAATTAATCTGACGTGAGCTAGATCGGGTATATATATAATATTAGGTGTTGGAATTAATTCGTAGCGTTTTACAAGTGATGGGAAGTACTTTCATTAATGTATTTTTTAATGCTCATGTGAAATAAATAACATTCTTTCATTAAAAACGCTACGAATTAATTCCAACACCTAATATATATATATGTCACAAACATACCCGACACATTGATCTCCTTAACATTTAAAATTGTTATTAATTTGATTAAAATTTTAATAAGCATAATTTTCTTATGATTCTGAATATTTTATTTGTAGTTTTTATTTAGTAGGAGATCCGTTGTGTCTTATGAAATATTTTTAGATTTAGATTATTTTTAGGTACTTTATCATCTAGCTCACGCCAGATTAAACATCATTTGTAATGGGAGACGTTTGTAATAAGAGATTTTCCTAGACGCGCACATTTTGTGTTTTGAGGTGTACCAATTAAATTCGACGAAGTGCCTGATTACAGCATGCAAATTATTATTATTTATTAACGATATAGATTTAATTTATTATATTAATTTATTTGTTACGTTTGTAAATATATATTCTATGTATGTTCTTTAGTGTTTAAATTAATAATTCCGACATAGATTAAGTTTTATCCGCGAAAAAATTCTAGTGTAATGTGTGTGTAAAGAATAAAAAAATCATTGTACTGTGTCTCTCGATTCTTTAAGGAAAAGATCAATTGTAAATAAATATGTATGTGTTCAATGTGTGAAATGCGAATTCGCTTCAATAGACATTTCCAGAGCGAATCGAGCGGTTTAGTTTATATTTAATAAAATCTGTGTAAAATAAAATCATAAAGAAACAAATAGTATGTTTACCGTATTAATTGTGTACTGAGAAAATTAAAAATCTTAACTCTTACTGAACAAGGGTCACTAAGATGACCGAGCGATTCCTGTTCATGCAAGTTTCTTTGAGTCTTTCGGTAATTATAAATTATACTACATTTTATTATTTTTCAAAATAAAGTTTCAATGTTTATTGTAGAAAGTTGAAAGTATGTGAATTGTTAGAAATTTTTTTTAATCACTCTAAATAGGTGAAAAAAACAAATTCTAGTAATTCGGCCATGTTTGAACGTTTTGGACCAAATTATACTTTATATTGTAAGGATTAAGATTTATACTTGAGTTAGTCTAAACTTTGATATTATTCAATTTCGGTACCGGCACCTATCTTCTGTTACGGGAGAACACTCTCGAAAACAAATTTGTCTACGGTACAAGTTCATCTGCTCACGCGCAAGGAACTTCCAACTTTCCGTAAATGAGAAAGTTATAACTAACTTGTTATCTTGCATCGTCTGTCCAAATATGCAATCTGTGCTCGATAACATCGAGGTACCATGGAAATTTCGGTGCTAATTAGATAGTATCGCAATTCGATCATGTACGGCGTGTGAGAAACTCAAAATATTCAGAACAGTTTTGATTTTTTATCAGCGAAATGTGGTACGTATATCTATTCTCTCGACGAGATGGTATTTAATCAGTATCGTTGCATAATTTGATGAAATACCGATAGAGCATGTTACACCTTCCACATGCCGCATGCATGTGTATACGTGAATGTATGTAAAAGTTTGTTACAGGTTCGCAGGTCCTACATTATTGAAACACGATCGTGCGATTGCGTATAAGTGACCGGCGTTGAATCGAGTATTACGATTCGTAACACGCGCAATTATGCCACATCGGAGAAAGTGAAATCGCAAGAAAAATTTGCGGTCGTCGAGGGACAACCAACGCGTTTCCATCCCCCTGCTCCGCGCAAGTTCTTATTAACATTTTCTAGACGGGCCGTTTCAGCGAAGATTCGCGTCTCTTATGTGAAGATTGAAGAACTTTCGCACGTTGACGTCTCTATTATCGTCATGAAAAGTTTGTCGACTCGATATTGAACCAAATATCAGAATCTCTGCTGCTGAAAAATTCACAAAATGCGTCTCGTCAGATGGTTTCTACACTTTCTTTAATTAGCATTCTCTGATTTTTCTTTTTTTAATTTTATAGTTTCTATTGTCCAACTATATAATCAGAAAAGTGAAAATAAGCATGAACTATGCGGATTAATGTGTTCGCGTGATCATATAAAAATGCTAGAATATACTTTTCAATATATGAAGCTGCGATTTCGAATAACACAGCCTCCTTTCTCGCGATTCACAATATCAGACATATAATTATTTGTTATCTTAGTAGCATAATGTTTCAGTAATTGCGATATTGATTATCCCTCAAGTATCGTCAAATAATAATTACAGCGATATAATGAGACTATATCTCTTTACATTCGCCAAAATCCTATTAGTCTCGTTATTTAGCAAATTTATTCACAGCAAAATGCAATTCCATCGTAGAATAAACTGGTCCTGTAAAATTGTCGGATCTCGTTTCATGTTTTAATATTTTTGTTTATCATAACAGTATTTAACGTAATTTTATGGCCTATTTCTTTTTTTTTAATTGTTATTTAATTACAACGTAATTTAACTTTTTTTTCCTATACTTCGACAAATCAGTATTAACATTTTTGTCACTTAATCAAGTCTTGTAATTATGTAATCAAATTATAAATTAAATTTATGTTTTCTTTTTATCGCGCCTTCAGTCACCGCTTATCGAAAGAAAATACTTTGTAGAGTCCTCGGAACAGATGATTATAATTACATCACAACTTTCCTTTACTAAGAATAATTTGATCGCGCTTCCGTGCTTCCTAATAGTTTCAGATTAAAGTTGTTGGCGGTTTCATCGAGAGCAGTAACCGGAAAAAATTAACGTAGCGGTCTGCCATGACTGATGTTATTTGAAGCAACGAGGAATTCGCGTTACGCGCTGAAAGTTACGCTGAAAGTAACGCGAGATATTGCATGAGCATCCAAGAAAAAATACGACTGACAATAAAAAAGTATCGAACTTGGGCCACACTTCAAATATTAATTGTAAGCTAAAACAATTGAGGTTAATTACCTTATAACCTATTCGTAACTTGACTTAATCGTGTTTATGTCACGGTCACGTTTTTATGTTCTTGCTTGATATGCGTGTCACACGAGTATTAGATACGCAATATAGTATATATAAGATGCTATCAATTTGCTATTTTAATCTAGTCTAATCTGAATAAATCCGTTTAATATTTGTAAGTATTGGAAATATGTAATTTATGTTAAACAGTCAAGAGAATTTTTTTATCCTATCTATTAAACTAAGTAAATTTTATGAATTTCTTTCAAAAAGTTCTTTATAAGATATATCTTTACTTTTTAATATACTTATATTTATTAAATTTAGAATCTTTTTACTAATATAGCATAATATGTAAATAATGCGAAAAAAATTTTTTTAAATAATACTAATAGAGTTTATATTAAAATAATCGATTTTTAATATTTTAATAAATTTTCTCACATACTTAACTAAGTGTTCCAATAACCTTCTTTCAAAAAACATTTTTTTTAATGATTTCTATTTTTTTCTACATTTGCATCATTAAAACAGTTATAAATTTATAATGATCTTTAAAGATGATTATAAAATTAATGTTAAATTATGGTAATTAAGTATTTTTTTCTTTCAGTGCAAAATATTTGGAAAAGAATATTTGAGTTTTGTATGAAAAAAACTCTTTAAAAGTGTGAAGCGCGATGCTTATTGAATCAATTAACACGTGACTGTACATGAAAGATTTATAGTTATAAAATGATGAGTTTACGATTTCAAGTTCAATGTCATTGTCCGCAATGATATGAGTAATAATCGACAAATAAGAATGTTATGCAATTCGTTTTTGTCGATATTTGCGTGCGGTCGGCTATAGGATTAAGTATGTACACATACTCGACGCATATTACAGAATTACGAGTGTACCAAACAGCGTATATATACGTATAATCTACAAAGTTATCGTATCCGCAGTGGCCGCAAGATAGAGTTCCAAAGTTAAATAATGATGTTAATCAAAGGCGTCTCATTAAACATGCAATGGCGAGTGTCAAAAACACTTTACAGGAGAGAGGTAGTTTCGTTCAAATAAGCTCGTCTGTCGTAAATTCCAAGTTAAATACGCGTCTCTATTAGTAATAGATGTAGCCAGTTTCATTCCGTTTACTAGGTAGATTAAATAACTCATATAACTCATATGCTAATGTATTCTATGTGTGTCTTTAATACAATAAATTAAACATTCCTCGCAAAAAAATGTAATTAATAAAGTTTATTAATAAAATTAATTAAAATGTTATATAACAAATTAACAAATAACTCTGTTCGAAAACTGCAAGTGAACGTTGATGGCCGTCGCTACACACGACACACTTTTGCGGAGCGCGGCAAGAATTGACAATCCGAGACAAGCAACACAAATAAATTAGAAGAAAGTTGTCAAATAACTATTTTCTGAAACTAACAACCTAGTTTCGCGAATGTTGAAGTTTCACTTTTATTAAACTGAAAGTATCAGTTTATTATCTCATTCAAAAGTTCATCGCCGATTAGATAATAACATACTCTGGTTCACTTCCTTTTATAAATAAAAAATATAAAAGATTATCAATTTATTTTTCGCGTATTTATGCTTGTACTAGATTCGAATATACTTGTCAAGATTATCGAATGTATAATATCGAGGAAATAGGTTCTTGTAAGCAGTACTTACAGTTGGTTTTACATGAAAAAAACCGATAATTTAGTTATTTTCAGTTGAAATTTATTTATTTATTATTATAAACTTATCTCTCACAAAAAGATTTATTCCTAGAAGTATCTCTTGAGAAATTAAATCACGTTATCGAAATTATTAAATTGTACTGTACGAAATAATCTGTATTGACAACTAACGCACGTTTCATTTCATTTCATCTCCACTCGAGATCGAAATTGCGGAAGACATCTTCTATTTCTATTTCTATTTAGATTGATTCTATGATTTAGATTGATGCTTAGATTAATTATTGTCCAACTAGTAGCGTTTAAAAGAGCAAGCAATAAATGGGCACGTGGAAGAATTCACGACATGAGCCGCCCGCGGCACGTCGCTTTCTAGCGAGTGCCGAAAATTTGAGACGACTCCACATGAGAAAACGATACCCGAAACCGGATATCACCCAGATACAAGCGCTCGTGGACGTAAAACGAGAAAAGAAGAACTTGTTTTTCGGAGGCGGCAGCGGCGTCGTCGGTTAACGAAGGCGCTGTAATGAAATATAGGATGCTGTCGCACCCAATTCTATCAAGATTCGATAAGATTAATCCCATTGACTGTATAATAATACACATCAATGATGATATAACGCATAGTGCAACACGTTTTATAATCTCGCGTTATAAAAATTGTATTTAAAAGAAAATATTTTTAATTAATTTAACTATTATTTCTTTTTGTTAAATAAATATGTGTTTTTACTGTAAGTAAATATTTAATTGGTACCATTTAAATAAATTTTAATTGTTAAATAAAATTTCATAAATATTTATGAAAATTTAAAATTTTTTTTCTCAATAAATTT